TTGACTATTAAAAAAATATTAATAGTCTACTAAATTTTTAATTGGCTATTAAAATAATATTCTGAAAACCAACTGTACCATCTTACATTGGGTCAAAATCTAAGTATATTTTCACAATATTATTTTATAAATATTCTGTAAAAAATGAATTAAAATAAAGGGGTTTAATGCACCAAATCCCCCTGTGATTTGGAAATTCGGCGCATTAGTCCCCTGTGATTTAAAAAATGCGTCAAACCCCCATGTGTTTTAATTAATCATGCGCCAAATCCCTTATGTGAACAAATTCAATTGTTAAATAAAAGAAAATTAATTAACATTTTTGTATGATTCAGAGATTTTGACATATTTATTTGCATATTCAATCAAAATATTAGGAAAAGTGATTTTTAAATCGTTAAATTTATTCATAAAGGGGGTTCTGTGCGTCATTAATTAAAACACGAGAGGGTTTGACACATTTTTTAAATCACATGAGCTAATGCGCCGAATTTCCAAATCACAAGAGTTTGGTGCATTAAACCCTAAAATAAATTATGAGATTAGTCCATCTAGACTAACCCTAACTATTTGAAAATCACAGATAGTATCTAATTTAAGGTAGAATATAATAAGGCACTATTTGTCTATTATGATCATTAGATTATCCAGGAAACGTACTAAACCTGTATTTGTTGGGTATGTTTTTTATCATGACAGTGGTTCTTAAATCTTCAGAGTCAGCTTCAATGGCGTCCTCGTTTATTAAGAACCGAGGATCATCACGATCCTTGTTATTCTTATTATTGCTCCCCCCTTTCCACGATCGCCTATTATTCCCCCTCCTATTCTGCTTCGACGAAGTCGAAGAAGAAGATGATCCATCCCAGTTGCTATTCCCACTTGTTAAACACAAAGAACCCATTGATTCTCGAACTGATGACCCTTCGTTTCCCTTCGAGTTTCTCTTAAGTTTCTCGCCGCCATAACATCTGGGATGCGGCATTGCCGCCGCCCTGTGCGGCGGAAATGACGCCGCCGGCGGCGGTGGTGGGAGAAATCTGGGGGTGGATACGGCGGACCCACCGGGTCTACTGTATTGAATCAAGATTTTCCTGGAATTTATTTCTTTCTGGTTCATCTCCGACAATGCTCTTGCTGCATCTCTTACATCATAGAATTCCACGAACCTCTGGTTCCTTTTCACCGGCGACTCTCTCAATTCCTTCACCGCCCCTTCAATCAATAAGTAACAGTTCTATAATCATTCATTAATGGAGATAATAAATATAAAAAGAATACTCAAGAACATTTAATTATTGAATAGAATTGTCGACGTACCAAATGATTCGAAAATATCTCTGATTTGAGAATTGGAAATGTGGGTATCCAAGTTGAATATGATGAGTGTCCCTTGATTACCCCCGTCGGCGGCGGCGTATAAGTCGGGGGCGACGAACTGAGCCCACACCGCCCGCCCGGCGATGAGTCCGCGAGCCGGAGGTGGAGGCGGAGGGAAATGATGGGCGGCCGCCATGGCTGACTCGTAGTGGAGGCGCAGCCGGTACTGCTGCTGCATGTGCTGTTCTTGAATCTCCGCCACTGCCGCCACCGCGTGGCGGAGGTCGTAGAAATGGACGGTCACGATCCCCTGTCTCACTCTCTCCATCTGGACGGCCCTCACGTCGCCGAACGCCTCCATCTCCCTCCGTACCATCGACTCGCCGACGTCAGGGGAGACCATGCTGACTAGAACCGCCCGAGTCGGGGACGGGGCCGACAGGGGAAGGTCCGGGCTCTGCAACGGCGGCGGAGCAAGAACAGAGCACCCCGCGCCGTCGTAGTGCGGCGGCGGAGGGCGGTGAAAAGGGAAATGAGGGAAGCAGGGCGGCGGGAACAGAGAAGAGAATGGGTCATTCGTCGGGAAGAATTCTTGAGCGCAGGGATCGAGGGTCCCCGGGAATCGGACAATGCCGGGGTCGTCCATTTTTGGCCGTGAAACCGGTGGGGAACAGAGAACGAGGCGGTTTGATTCGCCGGAGCGTCAGAGTAGGACAGGCATTTATATTTTTCTCTCTCTGGAAGTCTACTTTTGGTTCAGGGGAGTGTGGGTGGGTGGGGGTGGGGGGTGTACGAGAATGCTAAAGAGTAAAGACAATGAATGGGGTTGCCTTATTTACCTTTTCGATTCTTTTGTTGAAGGAAGCCTGAGAGGGGTACGAGAATGCTAAAGACAACGAAAGGGGTTGCCTTATGTACAGCCTTCTTTTGAAACCAAATTTTACTATAAATGTGACCCTACTTAATGCTTTCCGTAAGTTACTCCATTGCCCTTGTACGTTTGAATTTGTGTACAGATCGGATTTTTACAACAAAATTGCATAAGGGGTAAGCTTAATCTCTCTATTAATTCTCTATAAGCTCATTTGGGGACATTTTCTTATCCAAAAAGTACAACAGTTCATATGGTTATTACTTATTATCGCCCCCTTTGTCATTCCCTTGGGACGTTGGTGGACGATTTAAATTTGTGAGATATTACTTGTAAGATCTCTTATTTGCTTACTTTAACGGATATTAAGTGAATGGAAGAAATGCAATCACGACAACATCACATATGAAAGAGTTACAGAAAAGCTCTAATGATTTGGTGACTCTAGTACGATTTGAAGTGTGAAAAAATTTCATATTGGATGAGAAAGATGCATGAATGTCTCGTCTTATTTCTAAATTTATATTAGTATGGAATAACAAGCAGTATATTAGTAGGTGAGGGCTTTCACGACCTATAGGAGCGGAAGCGCGATGGGATATTACTTGCTTGGCAAATATGGGAAGAGGTGCTAGATTTTTTGTTAACACCAGGTGATCCCGCCTCTATTAGATGCATCCTGAACACTCAAAAACTCGCCTCAAACCATTAGGAGAAGTAAATTTGAGTCGCTTGAACAACTCACTAGGTTCTAAAACACTCATTTATACATCATCACAAGTCCTCAATTCCCAACACTTCTCCTACAAGATCCGCCACTTATTGGTCAAACTTACAGACTCTCATCATAAAGCTAACTCACAATCTACTGCTTGAGACTACATGAACTACTTATTGTCTGGCCACTCAAGTTAGACGCGAAGGGTTAGAGTATCATCATTTGAGAAAAGTATCTTAAATTCACATTCTTGATTATTTGGATCCAATACCTTTCATATGGGAGGATCTTAAGTGTGTGGGATGTGTCCACTTGGACTACACTCACTTGTCATGGGGATGACGGTTTTGTAAGATGAGTTGTAGGTCAGGAAGCACAAATCAAGGTCACAATTGTATTTTTTATGGAGATCGAGGCCGAGTCTTGGATGGGTCATTTGAAGATAGCTATGCTCAAAATTTTGTCATTTTTATTTTATCATACTCCGTATCAATTTCCTTTTTTTCCTTTTCTATGATTGCTCGTAGTCTTGGTTGATTTGTCTTAGTAGGACATGTAATGGGCCTTGAAGGTTAAGGATAACCTCAAACTTGAATCTCAGTCGGCAACTCACGTTCTTTCTTTGTGGTGTTCAATTCGCCTCTTCGTGTGATCATTGGGCATGTCTTTGCAAAACTAGGATCAAATTGTTTGGAGTCACATCTCATAGGGCATGATTAGAGAAGTTTATTTATCGCATATAGGCTTTAGTAATAAGGGCTTGGGGTTCTCCTAACCATTGAGGGATGCCTTCTCATATGAAGTTACATCATAAGATGACAATGTCGGGCTTAACATCATGCATGGGATGCAAATGACGGAAGCAAATTTTATTTTTCGTGATATTCGAAACTTGAGTGTAATTCATATCGTATATACACTTGTAATGTTTTGGCTTAAAATTGTAACGGAGGAGTAAACAGTAGATACAATGTACTAGATATATGACAAAAGAGAAATCTAATTTAAATAAGGATTTGGAAGCGTACATGAACAAAATATTTTAAGTGAATCGTATCTACAAAAACGAAGCCTCTCAATTTTCAACTATAATTGGATCTACCTTAATTAGGCCTAAAAATCTTCAACAATTGGATCTTTGATTTTTTTTTTGTTTACATGTGCAATATTAGTGTCAAATAATAAACTTATAACACTTTAAAATTAAAATAAGAGATTTTTTCTCCTCCCTTTACTTAATGAGTGATGCACCGTTGAACTTGAGAGAATTAAATAGAATTTTCAGTAAGCAATAATAGAGCAACACATCATTGATTTATAACTCTATTTTACTATATAAAACATTAGATATTAATCAAAATATATCATGTTACATTTATTATCTTAGACAATTTTTTTATACTTAATGATCCCAAGATATGTGGTTTACCGACCTCAAAATCAAGGTGGTTACCATGTATGACAAAGAACAATCGAAAACCCAATAAACTTATAAGCCTAGAGCCCTAGACTCTAACAAGTGACACCCAACCCGATGAACATGTTTTAATATATTCACACAAAAATATTTAATATTATGACGAAAGTTATACCAATATTATTACAAAGATGTTTAAACAAATGTGACTAGATAACATTCTCTATCCAAAAAGGACATAAATTATAGTAATGTCATGAAGTATGTTTTAAAAATTATATTTATCCCATATTGGATTATTTTTCTATGAGTTGAAATATAGTTATCTATACATTAGTTTTTATTTATTTGCATCTATATCATTTGTTACTGATTCTAAAAGTAAATTGTATAAGTATTGAATAGTATTGAAAAGGTAAAAGAAAGTAGATGAAACCGTATAAAAGAAAATATTAAAACTAAGGAAATAAGGAAGAGAAAAATGAAAACATTGAAAAATTGGTCTTTTTAACATTATTAGTAATTTCTTGCCACAATATCAATTTTTACAGGAGCACAATATCAAATTATCCATCATGTACTAGCTGCCGATTTGTTTGATAATTTACACATAAACCAAATTCCATTAACATTATTTTATTAGTAGATTTACATAATTATGTAAATGGTTGGGTGAAACAACAAAAAGGTATCCTACTTTTTCTATTTTATGGGAAAGGTTGCAAAAAATGAAAATGGATCATCATATAATTAAAAAAATGAAAAAAAAATGAAAAATAAAAAAGAGCAAGTCATTTTTCTTTTTTGGTCAATTGGCATCCCTTGGCTGAGTTAACCTTACCGGGTCACTCTGCTAGTCCAATTCCTAGTCGGGTTCTGACAACATAATCCCAAGTAGGGCTGTAGTTTTTGTAGATAACATTTGTTGATAAATTACAGTCATCCCTCATCAAAGCTTATAGCAGCTCCTGTTTGTCTATATAATGATCATAAGAAAGCCACCAAAAGAGCATAACTGGTGGAGGTTTCCCCGCAGAAATGCAGATTAATGACACAGAGCAACTTCTTCAATGTCATTATCAGTGGGACAGATAGATTCATTCACAGATTCACTCTTTCAACGTTTGAAAGTAGGATCTGTACCTCTGAGCTAATCCAAACATACCAAGTGTTCCTCCGGTGTGAAGCATCACAGCTGCCTTTGAACTTTCATCCCGACTAAATTGCATAGCAGATTCCCAGGCAGCTAGGGTGTATACAGGATCAACCAGAATACCTGTTTCCTGAGCAATAATTTGGCATTTCTTCACTTCACCTCTCAACACATTGCCAAATCTGTCCAACACTGACTAGCAAAAATTATGCAAGTACTTTTCCTGGAAAGGATTTAATAGAAACAAGGCAATAAAGGGCAGTACAAATTACTTTCTTGGAGCGAGACGTTCTACCCAGTGAACGATTCCATCACGTCCTTTTCTTAAGAATTGGTCAGGATTAGGAAAATTAAAAGTCAAACAAAATTCTGATATTAGACTTTCCTCCTTTTTTCTATATCCCTCAATAGTGTCAGCCAGCATGACTGCAGTTACTTCCCAAGGGAGCCTGAAATGTAAAATCAACAGCTAAATAAAAAAGATGCAGATTGTTGTTGTATTTGAAAGGTCACAATTCGACTAAACCCACTAATCCAGTATGTATAAGAATTAAAATTATGCAAGGAGGTATAATATACACTCATATGTGCATAATAAACTGAAGCAGCTCACCCTAGTAGAACAACTCCAAGTCCTAAACCAATGGCAGTAGTTCCTGTGCCAGCATCCACAATAATTCTTAGTGATTGATTTCTTCCAAATAAATGTTCCCGAGACAAGTAGTCCACAAGGCGCATTACACCTGATAGGAGTGACATGGTTTGTTAATAATATGTAGAGGGACATGAAAAAATGACATCTTTTATTGGATTACCAAGCAAGTGGATGAGACCAATTGCCAAACATCATATACATTAATATTAGGGGTTGGAAGGGTTCATTTATACTATGGCCAAGTTCTCTTTGCCTGAAAAAAATGATCTGGGCTCTTTTTTAAAGTCTGATTTGGTCCTGATCTTTCTAATCTGGTTCGAATTTTCCCTGCATGGTCTTGTATGAAGATTTCTGGCCTAATCTGAAATATAGCATCTGATCTAGTCTAGTCTGGATATTATTGGTCTGGTCTAGTATGAATACTTCTGGTCCATTTTGGTCATTGTCGTAAGAACACTAATAAGAAAAAATGAAGAGAGCAGAGCCTATATGTGCTTCAATTGGGACCATCGGTTGGAAATCAGTCAAAGGCATAGAAACCCTGTAAGTAAAAACACAGTGAGAACAGAAAAGTTACCTAATAACCCTACAGCATCCCCAGCACCTTCATTAACAATCACCACCTTCTTTTCACTTTCTGCACGTATATGAGCTGTCGGTTGGAAAGATTGTTTGCCAAATCCTTGGTCAGACAATGAAGCCTCCAGAATTTCACCAAGCGAGACTATTAGTCCTTCATCGCCAGCCGTCTTATTGGCATGTAACGCGAGCATTTCTTCTCTTCTGGCATACAATGATCTAGGGACATATTTAACATTGCCATACATTGTGGAAATTAAATTGTAGCCAGTAAGAGTTTCTGGCTCTTCACCACGAAGAAGTAAATGCGACTTCAGTCCCCTCTCAGCACATGAAACAGCTGTATTACATGAAAGGGGAGTACTAAATGAGACCCTCTCTGACTTTTGTCATCGCAATTATCAAATCCACCATAGTTCACTTTATGCAATTAGACCCCCGACCATTTTTGTTTTAATCACCACATCCCCTCCAATTTCGCAGTTGTCTCGTCTAATCCCACGAGAGCTCACTCAGTGCAAATAAGTGCAATACCCCTACTTGAATATATGTTTTTAAAAAAATACAAATCCAAAGCCTTGATTGCAAAGAAGGTGGATAGAATGAGTTATGTCTAAGCTTATGCCCTATGTCAATCTGGATATGGAGAAAAATGAAGGTCATTAGTACCCTAGTTCAATTTTAGTGTATGGGTTTGGGGTCATAATTTTGTTTCGAATAAGCTGCATAAAGAAAAAAAAGATTAAAATGGGCACATGGATTCTGCATGATCATCGTCAATGAATTGACAGTGGCCTTAGTTGAGGAGATTAGGGTGATTGGAAACATAAACTATGTGAGGGTGGGGTGGAAAGTAAATTTCAGAGCATTGGATGAGACAACCACAAGAACTAGAGGGGTCATGAAATTAAAACAAGAAATGGGAGGTTGCATTTTCAAACAAAGACCCAGCTAAAGTGACAAGCAAAGCTAGTTTCAATGCCATATACTGACTACTGTATCACTTACCAACAGCAGCTGCATGTGCACTTTGACAACCTCCACATGTAACCTAAAAATGTTGCAGTGGAGAGTTGGTTAGTACTGTTACCCTCTCATTCTAGAATATGCTACGCAAAGAAAATGTGACAGAAAACTAAACATTCGTTCAAACTGAAAATTATTATTTTTTATATTCGTTCAACTTAATTTATTTATATATTTCTATCATGTAAAGACTAAGAAAACAAAATTATGTTAAAATACTAATACAAAAATAAATACATTTTATTTCCCAGTGCTTTTTGTAGTAAAACCAATCACAACAACAACAACACCCAAGCCGTAGTCCGGAAAGATATTGGGGTCGGCTAACATGAAACGACACATCATATAGGAGCCAAAAGGAAAGGAAGATAAGAAGGATAAAAAGATAAGGTAAGATAAAAAAGACAAAAAGGATAAAATAAAGGATAAAGATAAAAATGATAAGATAAAAGGGGAAGAATATATAAAAACTAAACACGACAAAATAAATTTGCTTGGCCTATTTCCTTTCCCTAGCACTTTCGGAGATCCAACATATCCCTCCAGAGATTTTCATATTCACATGCTATCAACTAACATTGATTTATTATAAATATTCCTATGCTCAGACTTTGTAAGTGGTCAAGTTACTAGCATCCACTTTTTAAGTTTTCTTGGGAAGAAATCCCAAGCACACCCAAATTAATGCAGCAAACTTGTGCCAACCAGCTCAAATACACATTTTTATAAGATATTTAAGTCTTTAACTTACCACATCAGTTATTGAGTTATCCACTAGGAGAGGGAGCAATGCATCCAACTTCCTTGCCTTGTTACCATTCACCATGGGATGTAACAAATCATCCCTCACCACATAAAAGGATGCCTGATAGTGGTTTACATCGACTGAAATTGTGCCCAAAGAAGGTCGTTGATCAATGACAAAAGAAGCACTGTCAAACACATCTCGCTGCTCTGTACAGTGATTTGATATCAATATTTGGTGAACTTTGGAGGTGGGGCTTCTTAGTGCCCATTTTCTTTTGAGCAATTTTGAAACAAACTCCTCACTGGGCAGACTGAGTTCCAATGCACCCTGAAAACAGGCTGGAAATTTCAAAATAGTTTTTTACAATTTTATTTTCAGATTGCAAGTTCCCCAAACAATCAAAGCCCAAAGACTAAACAAAAACCTATAAATACAAAAATGGAAATACCCATGGCATGGCATGAAGTTCCACAGAATTGCAGCAATTCTAATCAAATAAAAAAAGAACCCTAGGAGCCTTTTAGGGAAAAAGGTACTATCAGCACCTCACCTATTGAAAATAATGCAGTTTGCTACCTGCAATGTGTGTTTTCTGCATTGAAAAAGGTATTAACAGCACCTCAACTATCAAGTTATGAGCACAATTTCTTTTTAATCATATATAAACCCTGATTTTAATCATCTGGTTATCTAATTTACAAGTCACATGAAAGTATAGTATGCCACTGTGGGGTTGGCTAATTTATGTGGTAGCCTGCGTGTATAACGCATGAACAAGCACAGATGTACGAACCTGAAGTGGAAAAGTAATTGCATCATCCTATAATAGTAGTAGTAGTTACAATAGCAGGGCATGTGTGGCTGCAATGTATGATTATTGTATGAATATTCCCAGCAAGCCCAAAAAGTATAGCAACTCAAGTATTCAACGACACCATTGAAACCCAGGTTTTTTCATATGATATGATATGTAAGACAATAATTCTTTAAAAAATGGAAATTTGCATAGTATCAAATTTACACAGCTATGCATTTACAAATAGTGATACTGGTAGAAAGCAAAAGAGAAAGAAACCCCACCAGACCTGAATTCTGCAGTTCACATTTGAAAGCATGGCATTCCTAGGCATCACGTTAAGCCTCGCCTTTTGAAATCGCGGCAACAAGAATTGGTAGCAATTTCCTGCTTGATTGGAATAAACAAGATGTTAATAAATGGGATGAACAGGTGTGGAGTAGAATTTAGGTGGTTATGAAGTTTTTTTGGGGACGATCTCCTCCATTTTGTGTTATTTTTTTTAGCTAATGTTATTTTTGTTTTGAAAAACATCTTCTTCATTTTAATTTAAACATATTTCTCATATGTGTCATAATATAATTAGGTTATCGTTCAAAAAAATATTAGGTTAATAAATTTATATTATCTAACGTGCACATTTGAGATTGTGGCAAAACCTCGGTGCATATTTATGAATAGAAGTTTTAAAATGTGTTTGATGTTAAACATTTTTATTATTTTGAGACAATTTTAAAAAAGACATGATTTGTTATTGGTATGAAATGGTATCGCACTATTTACATATATGTTGGCAATGAACAACTTTTGTTTTAAATTAGTCAATCGGTCCGTGCGTTGCACGGATTACAGATGAAATTGTTTTATTTTTTAAATTCATTGATTTCATGAATAGTGTATATATACATCCTTGTTGTAAAAATTAAAACTTGATATTCAACTATATTAGAGTATATATGTAATAGTTGTTAGAGATACACTAACTCATACGGAGTATAAAATTATTAAATAAATCATTGTTTTCACTTGAAGTAGTAAATATGTATTTAAAGTTATTTTTTCTCCTACATAAAAATGGCTCATAATTTCCAAAACGGCATTAGGAACGGAAACATAAGCCCAACTTGAAGGCTAGCCAATTGAACCTCAAAATGAAGAGGGGCAGGGAGTTCTACTATGCTCTAACCACGAACAGGGCGGGAACAAACAACACCAGGACCCGTGAGGGCCACCGCCTCGTTGAATTCAAAATCAGAAAGGGCGACGGACAGAACTCTCCGGGCATAGTCAACAGAAAGAAAGAAGTGGGTTTCAACCCCATGATAGTCCACAAGGATCTTGTTGTCTTATGAAAGATGATGGACGCTTAAATATATAGCCAAGATTATGACACTATCCAAAACCACTTGGGAACCGCAACCAAGGCACTTGAGTGCTGGAGATGATAGGGCGGATTGGAATCTATACTGGGCTACATGCATGTGTCTCTTTGGCCACATTTAATGCAGGACAGTGTTGCGAATCATCGGGGATTCAAAATTTGAAATACTCGCTCATACTCTCCTAATATCCAGCCCGAGTGATTTTAGAGAATAGGAGGCTCGTGATGGTACCATGGACTACAACCATGGCCCAAATACAAAATTATATTAAAAGCCCATCAACAGGATTAGCCCTCAACGGGATCAGCCCATAAACGGGATTATTCCTCAATGGGATCAGCCCATAAACGTGATTAATATTAATAAGCCGCTAGGCCTAATTAGGCATCAGACCCAGGTAAGGAACCCACAACCAGGCCGGGCTGGACAGCAGACCTCGAGCCTGGGCGGAGTCCTAGTGAGATCGAACTCTTCCTAGGGCTTATGTGGCGGGCTATCATTCCTACATAACTATCTGGCAGCAGGCATACAAAGCAATCTGACTCGCTAGACATAAAACGGGCAACAATAAGCCTAAAACGGTCGAAAATGAACCACTGCCTATCAAATATGTTTATCAAAAATCAAAATACTCCAACTATACCTACTCGAACTGAAATAAAAACAAGTACTACCAAAGGAAAAAAATAATGCGAAAATAGAAACTTTCCCCAAATTGCTTCTTCGTCTGAAGGTGGTTCCGGAGGCGGACGAGTTGTTGTAGTATGAGAGAAGAGAATTTTGAGCCCTGAGAAATTCATCTGAAACCCTATCCTTCTTGCGCTCGCCAATTTGCTCTCGCCAATTTGCTTATTGAGGTTTATCATTGAAATCCATGTCCAAGGTGCAGAAGAGATTTCTATCATGCTGCCTTTGTAACTAATTGCCTGTAAAATTCCTGAATCAGCCCGTCCAAGAAAGGATTCCAGGCCGATACGAATCACTAGTGCAAATAAGAGCCTTCCTTGGATCCAATGTTCAAGAATTCCATGGATCAAACCGTCCAAGAAGGATTTCCAATCAGCCGCCGATAAGAGGATATTGTAGCCGATAAGAGGCGCAACCCAAAAACACGCCGGACACCGTCGGAAAACAAACCCTAGTCGCCGTCGATTAAGGTCGTGCACTGGGAGAAAGAGCCCGAGAGCTTTTAGATTATTGGAAGAAAACTGTGCCACTTTCTTCACCGAAATTGTAGTATTAAATCAAAAAATCTTTTTTCTTTGGACTAACTAAATAAGTCTTATTTAGGGAATAAAAAAGTTCTATTTTGGAATTTCAAAACGTTTTTACTCCTATTTAGGACAATTTTTAAAGTATTATCCCAAAGGTTATGCACGGTTGTTGTACAGATTAGTTAGCATCACATGTATCTACGTAAATATTATCTCTTCCTAGTATAGTGGTATAGTTGCCTTGCAACTCTAACTCTAATTGTACTACTATTTAGAGTGAAGTAATGAGATGAAACTATGAAAGAGATATGGCAAATATTATTTAATACTACCTCCGTCCCACTATGTTTGGGACAAGAGAGTGTGGCACACCTTTTAAGAAAAAGTGAATTGTGTTGTTGGTATTGAATTGATAAAGTGTGAATAAAGTAAGAATGAATTGTAACCACCCAAATATTACCAAATATGGTATATATGAGACAAACTTAATGGGACAGACGAAAAAGGTAAAATGGGACAAAGTTAGGGGGGCGGAGGGAGTATCTATATATTTTATAATTATGTATTGTGTATTCAATATTTTTTAATCATATGTAGTCTAATAATTGGATACATACCACATTGGCTTTGATCCTTAACAGGAGTAACAGCTCCTCTCTTCTTCCAATTGAGGCTCCTTGAAAGGCGTACCATCATCATCATTATTATCATTAAGACCGTGAATAAGAGGACTTTTGTAGCCAGTGGCTCGAAGGGATCGGAATGCGTGATTAGTCAAATCAGCAAACTTATTGACGCCGAGCCTGAAAGACTGGCTCTTCTCCTGGTTGAAGGCGTGAATGAACTCCACGTTCTATTTGAATAGTGCAAAATGAAATTCCTTCTCCATCTCGTTTTCATACACGCATCCATGATAATTCATCCATTTCTCGTGCCCCTCCCTTGTTATGGTTAGCAGCGATGAGGTTGGAGTGATGATCGTCATCGTCACAAATATGATCTCGCAAATCAAGACTAGGCAACTAAATCTCTTCAATCTCACTGATGATGAACCCATCATATATTGTATATTATTATTGTGTGCGCGCACACGCACACACATATATAACATATATGCAATCAAGCTCTAGTATATATATAATGTACTCCGCTGGCAAGAGGATATTTATACACCATATTTCAAATGGATGAGTACGACATAAGTTATGCAACCTCACTAGAGTAGAGGGCTTTAGTGAGAACAATTCTATAGTGAGAATATAATACGGAGTAAACATTAATTGTAGACTTCATGTTGCAGTTATAGCCCGGTACCACGTCAATCAAATTCGATCACATAGTTTTTTAAAACTACATACTTTTTCGAGATATGTGCCCGCAACGATGAATAACACTAAATATTTGAGTCTAATTTGTAAAATTAGGGCAAATTTTCACATTTTGATGTTTTAATAACATACTTTTTGGTATCATAAATTTTTATCGAAAACAAATCATTTTCTAATACTAGCTCTAATTCATGTATAATGAATAATTATATTAAATTGCTCAATATGTCGAATGGAAATAATATTCCACAGGACAGGCAGCTCCGATCATGCCATTTTCTTCATGGTTTGGGTTGGCAGTCACCTCATTTCATCACCTTTAACTATTGAATACTTAATGAGTACTACTCGTAAAATAAAGTTAGTATAGATTGGATTACTTTTAGGGCACATTCAGAAATTTAATTTGGAATGGACTGGGAAAAAAATTATATTAGGGTTAAACGTAACTGTTAAAGTAAAAGCGGATGGTCTGCACCGCTGCAGTAATAATTAACTCATTATGATTTTATAAAAATGGTTTCAAACTTACAATTATATTGTATACCATTTATTCTTTATTTACACTATTATAAAGAAGAAAAAATATCAAACATATAACCAGAATAAAATGTTTTGGATAAAAATGTGATCCTAGTAACTTTAATGACTATAATTGTATTTAAATGTTACATCATAGTGACTATAAAATTTACACATAGCAAATTATAGTCACATTTTTGTCCGTGAATTTTTATTAGTAATATTTTAGGTAAAACCTACATTTCTCTTTTTAGAAAGTTTTGTGTGACTAACATTCAACTGCAGTCATATATTTCCAATTTATTCTCACTTTTTTAAACTTCAACTAGTCAAACTACGAAGAATTTTATGTAATGGAGAAAGTAATCTTTAATCCGTTTTAATTGAAATGCCAATTTTGTGTAGGCGAAGATTATAATATATCCAAATCCTCTTAGCCAATTTAACTTTTACTCACACCAATATTTTCACGGACACTTCCATAAAATCAATGTACCTATATTCTAATCCGAACTAATTATTCTGATACTCATATTACAAATTTGAAACCACGGCTTGACAAAGCTGGATCCCAATCGTAGCAGTTGCCGCCCTTGAGTTATGGTTTTATTCCCACCTTGAAGCTGGTGCTCTGATCGCTCTATGTTGCTTCTTGGACATGGAGAATGTCAATGCTCAATTTTAATTATATTGGTGAACAAAAGTGAAATTTTAACCACAAATTAATTAGAGTTAGAGCCCCTTTTATAGTATTAAAATGTTGTGTTTTCATCACATCCTCAATGTGGGCATATTTATGAGTTGTTGGATCCATGCAAGAAAATAAAATAAGTCGTTTTATGTTGATCTAAATTTAAAGTCATTAGAAGTTTGAAGGCATCTTCAATTATTTTCATAGTTTTCACGTTTTGATATAGAGAATGAAATGTGATGCTTATTGTCATATAGGTTAAAGGTACTTGACACTACTACTTCAAGATAAGCTTTCTATAAACCACTTTGAAATATTTTTCATTCTCTTGATCATTGAATGTTTTCTACTTTATCATTAGGACAACTTTCTTTTTCGCAATCATTTTTACTGCTGAAAAAGGTAGAGACTTGAAATTGAAATCTAAATTGATAACTTGACATGTATTAAAATAGTGAAAATTATAACTGATAACGTCCATTGACAATTTTTAAATTTCCTTTTTGCTTTATGAGTTGCGTTTTTTACACTTTTATTTTGTTCAGGACATTTGATGTGCTTAACTTTTGCCGCAGAGAACAAGAGTAGCACTTACACCTGTGACTTTTTTCAAATCTCAGCCTTTCATACCATTATTGTCTTCTTCCTCTCAAAGCAGATTCAGGTCCGCAAGATTTCAGCATCATGGCCTTCTTCCATCTCAGAAGGTATGTTTCCTTCCGTCATTAGATAAATAGATTCTAGCATGTTTTCATGTTTCCTAAATCAACAATCTTTATTCATTTTAGTCTGTATTACGTTTCTCATGGGTTTCTCATTTTTACTTTGTCTGTTTCCAACCAAATTAGATTTGAACATTTATAAAATATACAATGATCAAATATTACCAGACCAAATCAAATTAATTCAGATCACAAAATTTCAATGCAATTAAAAACATGAACTAAAAAAATGAACAAAATTTTAAATTTCCTAAAAAAGCAATAATAATGAACAATTATTAAATTTGACTGGTGGGCTTACATCTTGTCCCATCAAATCGTGACCACAGGGAACTGAATTCCTTCACTAAAAAAATTAAAAACTCCAGCGGGATTCGATCCCCAAACCCGAAGTAGGGTATGCAGCCTTCAATCCATCTCACCGACTTGTCTTATTGAGATAATTAGTTCGTTTATCTTACTTATCCTTTATAGTTTCATACTGCCTATTATTAATAGTAATTATAATATTAACTATTCTTTTGTTTTTGCTCATTATTACTATATTAAAAGACTAATTCATATTTTTGAAGTATTTATTTGATCTATGAATTATACTATTACTTTATATAAATATATTTATACTTTTTTTTTGTATAGTGTTAGGTTCCTAATAAGTCTGATGCTCATCAAAAGTGTTTTAATGCTCATAATAAGTCTGATGAACATTAAAAGTTCATTAATGTTCATTTAACAGAAAATGTGATTTTCATCTCAATAGAAACTGTGCTTTTTTCATCTCATTGATATGACATTGTAAAAATGAGCATAACATGAGTACCAAATGAACATACATAACTTACAAAGTTCACATTGATATGAAAATCGTAAGATTTGTTAGTTAAACATCATGACATTTTAATTGAGCATCCAACCTTCACTATTGAGATGAAAATCACGACTTCTCGAGAATGAGTAATAATGAACTTTTAATGAGCACCAGACCTATTCTGTTGAGCATACTGAATACACAAATTGTTATTTAAGCATACTCGAGATTTTAAATGAGCTTTTAAAATTTTTCTATGCTCATTTCGTAGATTAGCTATGTTCATTTGATATTGGTGTAATGTTCATTTTAAAATGAGCATTACACGAGACAACTTAAATGTCATATCCATGCATATTGGATATCCATGTAGATAAACTCTTTGCTTAGTACCAAACCCGGATTCCTTCATTAAAAAAATAAAACGCAAGGGAGATTCGATCCCCAGACCTGAAAAGTGTTGTAATGCTAATAATAAATCTGATGCACATTAAAAGTTCATGGCTCCCGCTAAATGAGCATCAATGTAGTTATGTTGAGCATCTCACATATTGTATTGAGTATTATGAGGCTAATAATGAGTATCACGATCTCTGCTTCATATCTTCTAATTCTTTTTCTTTTTCTTACTTTTTCCTTTCATAAAAACTTATTAAATTATAGCTATGATCCACTACTATTAATTTAAATATGCGAGTCTAATGTAATTTGATACTTTTGAAATATGCATTGATATGACATTTTAAAAATGAGCATAACATTAGTACAAAATGAGCATACATAACTCACAAAGCGCACATTGATATGAATATTGTAAGGTTTGTTAGTTGAACATCACAGCATTTTAATTGAGCATCAAACATCCGTTATTGAGATGAAAATCACGGTTTCTAGTGAATGAGCATTACTGAACTTTTAATGAGCATCAAACTTATTATGTTGAGTATTAGAAGTCTAATGTTGAGTTTTTTTTTTTTACTCCAGGGGAGGTCTAGGGGAGGGGGGCTAGGGGGGAGCCTGGAGTAATCAAGGCTGAAACTCACTCCATTTAGTTTCGAACCCTTATGTGCCTAGCGGGTTTCGAACTCGAGACCTCCCACTAAGCACTTCTAATGTTGAGTATTAGAAGTCTAATATTCAGAATCGTGGTCTCTGTTTCATAACTTCTAATTCATAACTTCACTTTCTTTTTATTATTATTTCTTTATAAATCTTAATAGTACTTTATAAAAATACATTGATAACATTTAGAAAATGAGCATAAGATTAGTACTAAATGAACATACGTAACTTACAAATGTTCATTGATATGAAAATCGTAAGATTTGTTAGTTTGACATAACAACATTTTCATTGAGCATCAAATCTCCTCTATTGAGATGAAATTTCAATTTCTGTTAAAGGAGTATTTATGAACTTTTAATGTGCATTGGACCTATTATGAGCATTAAAACACTTTTAATGAACATCAGACTTATTTAATTGAGTATTAAGAACTTAACAATGTGAATCCAATGTCATATGCAACTTTTAAAATTTTCATGAATATAACATTTTAAAAATGAGCATAGTATGAGTACACATTCAACAAATGAGAATACATAACTTATGAAATGAGCATCAAAATATTTAAAATGAGTATTACACCAATATGCAAGGATATGACATTTTAAAATGTCTGGTGTAATACTCATTTTAAAGTGAGCATTACGCCAATTTCAAATGAGCATAGGTAACTTACGAAATGAGCATAAAAAAATTAAAAATCTCATTTAAAATCTCTACTATGCTAAAATATCAATTTGTGTATGCTCATATCAGTATAACATAAAGAATAGGTGTATATGTTATTATTGCATCGCATTTGATATGAATTTTTGAAAGAATTGCATGAAAAAGACAAAATGTTATTGTAGCAAAATTACATAAAAGCAAAAAAGTAGGAGTTCAAAATTAGTGATCCAGAAGACAAAAAGTATATATAAAAAGATAAAAGAAAAAATGAAGTATAGAAAAGAAAAAGAAAATTTAAAGTTGGAAAAATTAAAGTTCAAATTTAGAGACAAAAAAACCGAAGCAGAAAAAAGAAAAAGAAAATTGAAACATAGAAGAATTAAAGTTTCAAACTAAAAAAAGAAAAAGGAAAACCAGTACTACAAAAAAGAAAGGAAAAACGAGAAGCAAAACTAAAAGAACGGAAAAACAAAACTAAAAAACGGAAGAACAGTAAAGTAACGGAAGAGGAAGAAAGGAGTAAAAACTAAAAAGTTAAAATATAAGGAAAAGCAAAAAGAAAAAAATCAGGGAAAGACAAGAACGGAGGAGAAAAAGAGTAAGCAAAAGCCATGATCCTTAACTAATGAACTCCGATTTGCATATAATTACAAAAATACCGTACCAAGTGACACGGTACAGATTAATATAATACTCCCTCCGGTTTTTAATAAACTTCACACTTTCCTTTTTGGGATGGTCTAAAATAAACTTCACACTTCCTTATTTCCTTTTTCGGCAAAGAAATCTACATCAAAACAGTGTCAAACAGTGTCTCAACAGTGCCAAACAGTGTCTCTACAGTGCCAAACAGTGTCAAACAGTGCCTCAACAGTGTACTCTACAGTAAAGTCAAATTTCTTTCCTTATTTTGCGTGAAGTCAAGGTGGGAAGATTAAATAAAACGGGAGGGATATATTTTGCGAAATTAACCTATTTATCCAGAATTAAAACATGACTGCTTTATAAACTCCTGCTTTTGCGAGAGAGCGAGAAGAGGGGCTGATTAGGGATGGCGGCAGCTTCAGCCCGGCAAACGATGGAGGCAATGGCGGAGGGCATGTCGGCGTCTGGGAGGACAGCAGAGAAGCTGAGCCTCCCGACTCTACAATCTAGAATGAAGTGCGATCCGGAGGGATACGAAGCGGAGCTGAGCTTAGTTTACAGCCAATTCAAGTCATATGTGGAGCTCTTTGAGCAACAGGCGGCCATGACCTTCGTCTCCCACAGCGGCGTCGGTAATGATTCCACTGTCTCCAAGGAACTCGGTGACAGGGCTTCGTTCTTGGCCCATGTCACTCCGTTCTACCCAAAGCAGCTTGCCCAATTCCCTAAAGAGCTTGCTCAGTTCCTTCGTTCATCTGCCCGGTCTCTGCCTTCCGGCCTCCGGGTTCAAGTTGCCCAATCCGTGATTCTTATGATTAACCGGAAGGTATCTGTTGAATTCCATTTCCTTCGTACCATATTTAGAGGGGGTTTGGATGTGCTTCTTCACAAACTACTTCCTTTTGCGTTGCTCCCAGTTTTTTTATGCTGGGGGAGACCAGCTGTGATTCTACTTCTGCTTTTAAGCAGAAGCAAAATCAATTCCAAACACCCCTTGTTCTGTTAGGTGTCTATCGAATAACAGGAAGGTGTCTGTTGTAAACAAGCTCTGTTTTCCTGATAAACCTTATTCTAAAGATAATCGCTGTTGCTGTTTGATTTTCTTCATAAACATTTCTCTAGATTTATCGTGATGCTAACTAAGTACATCTTTATTGCTATATATTTGTTAAAGATGAAGGAACTTAATGTTTATTTGTAATGGGCACTCCAGATGGTTGACATCCCGGATACACTAGAGTTATTCATGGAGCTACAGACTCTAGGCGACAAAGTTATTAGGCAATTAGCTTTCTCACATGTTATTCATAGTATTCGACGTATGAATCAGAAGCATAAAAATGACCCTAAGAACAAGCAGCTTCAGAATATCTTGTTTGCTATGCTGCAGGTGCTTATCTCCCTGTCCCTTGTCTAAGTGCGATGCTGAAGTTAGTTGGCTTTTTTACTTGATTTGTTAATTGTCATTTTACAGAAAGAAGACGAAACAAAAGCAAAAAGAGCACTCATCACTCTCCGTGAACTCCATAGGAGAAAGGTTTGGTTTGATGAGAGGACATCAGATGCTATATGTAGTGCTTGCTTTCACACCTCATCAAGGTTGCAATCATGGTCACACACTCTCTAATCTATGCCTTTTATTTAATTAATTCCCAATCTGTATGACACTATGATATGTTTTGATTTTTTCAGAATCATGATCGCTGCACTTTCATTCCTTATTGATTATGAGAAGGTTGAAGATGATGGCGACAGTGATGGTTCAGACAGTGAAGATGACCAGAATACTCAACAGCCTCAAGTTGCGATAAATAAAGAGGCTGTTTATAAGGTTGGCTGTCTTCTACCTCTTTTCATCATTTCATTGCTGTGACAATCTGCACTTAGAGATAGAGTTATCTTGTACTACCCAGTTGTGTAGACGTTGCATCCTCTGCATGAGTGACATTGTTTTACTAGTGGATAAACTGTCAGCTAAATCATGCCTGATTTATTCTGAAAATGACTGGGAACATGTTGTATTGATACGCTATTCATGGAACTGGCTTTCAAGTTTTTCAGTTTATCAATGCCAATGAAACTTAAAGCCTCATTTTTTCTTACAACACCTCTATTACTAGGCAAATAAGAAGGGCACAACATCTAGCAAAAAGAAAAAGAAAGCGAAGTTACAGCGTGCTATTAGGAACATGAAGAGGCAGCAGCGGTTACAATCAGATAACAGTACCAACTCAAACTATTACTCACCACTAAACTACTTGAAAGATGCACAGGTTTGTCTTTTAAGTCTCTCTCTCTCTTGATGGTGATTTCAAGGCTTAGAAAATTCTCTGAAACGGTGAAACCATATTATATTTCCCCTGCAGGGATTTGCAGAGAAGCTCTTTTCTCGTCTTCAAAGTTGTAATGAGAGGTTTGAGGTATAAGCTGCAATTTCTTCACTGTATGATATGTTTTTTATTAGTCCAGCTCACTTGTAAAGTTAGAGAGAACTTTATGTTTTTTTTTCCTTCAGGTCAAGATGATGATGCTGAAAGTGATTGCAAGAACTGTTGGACTTCATCACTTAATCTTATTAAACTTTTATCCATACCTTCAGAAATATGTGCAGGTACTCTCCTACTTTGCATCATTCTTGTATGATAAGCTTTATTTTTGCTTCATTTATTTCTAATTTTCAATCCATGCAGCCCCATCAACGAGATGTAACTAACTTATTGGCAGCGGCTGTTCAGGCCTGCCATGACATGGTACTACTGCACATTTTTTTATATTTTTTATTTATTTTTATCTGCTATTTTTCGTTGTCATTTCTGTATTCATCATCCATCATTTAATTTTCTGATCTAAAAGCTTGCTCACTTCTCTTTCATAGGTGCCACCTGATGCTGTTGAACCACTTTTTAGGCAAGTAGTCAACCAGTTTGTTCACGATCGATCCAGGCCAGAGGTAATCTTTTATTCTTCGTATTACCAAATATTTTTTTGATACATCGGAAAGCAGTATTACCAAATATATCTCCATAGTAATGTCGATCACATCATTTTTCTAAATTTCAGGCAATCTCTGTCGGGCTTAATGTGGTCAGGGAAATGTGTTTGCGAGTGCCCTTGGTATGTAAACCCCTTGACTCTTGGCTTCTGCCCATACAGTCCATATCTATTTTATTGAATCTCACTAGAACCGCCCTATTTTTTCTTCTTAGTTGATGACAGAGGATCTTTTGCAAGACCTTGTATTATATAAAAAATCACAAGAGAAGGCTGTTTCTTCTGCTGCTCGATCACTTGTGACATTATTCAGAGAGGTATAACCATGCAATATTTTCATTTTTTGCTTCTGCTATGGAAGTGGGTGTTTTTTTATATGCACATGCTAACCAGAACAATCTGCAGATTTGTCCTACACTGCTTATCAAGAAGGATAGAGGACGCCCTTCTGATATAAAAGCAAGACCAAAGGCATTTGGTGAAGTGAATGTTGTGAGCAATGTTCCTGGAATTGAATTGTTGGAAGAGGATGACGAGGAGAGTGATAATGATGTGGAAGGCGGGTCCATCGTTTCATCCGACAATGATAAAGTAGGTGATGAAGATCTTTCCCCTGTTGAAGATGACGAGCCTGATGATGATGCTTCCGAACATGCACTCAGTTTATCTAGTGACGAGTGTGAAATTGATGATGAAGATTGCAGTGATATTGACAACACTGATGAGGTAGAAGAAGAAAAAATGCCTGACGATGAAGATTCTGATGACTATTTAAGTGAAGAGAATAATGAAGATGAGTTTGATGACCTGTCTTGTAGTCTAGGTACTAGTAGTACTCAAGGTCCTTACGGTGGGGAAAATAAATCCAAGGCAAAGAAAAGGAAGTTTGATGATTTTGATGAAAAGCTGCAAGCTTCTAGTAATAGTCTTAGGGCGCTAAAGAAATTAGCAGGATCAAAACTTGGAAACGATTCTTCAGAAAATGCACAAGATGGCATTCTATCCAATGAGGACTTCCAAAAGATTAAAGAGATGAAGGTACGTAGTTATAGTTTACTGCCCATGTCTCTTTGTTAATCATTTTTGCTCGTACGGATCATGTTTATGGACACTCTCAGTAGGGATTATTATTGTAGAATCCATAAAAGTAGAGATTATTCTTGTGAATTTCGCCATCATTTTTTATAATATGATTTGTCTTGCCTATTTTTTCTCAGGCTAAAAAAGAAGCTAGAGTTGCTTTGACCAAGACTGGATTTAAACTTCCTAGCTCAGACGAACTTAGTTCCAAAAGAGTTAACGCCTCAAAACTTGAGGTTTGTATTCTTCTCTGAAAGTTTGTTTTGTGTGTGTTTATTCTGGTGAGGTTTCTTACGTACGAAGTATATGATTTGGTAGGTGTGCTATAGTATATGCAAGGAGAAAGTATAATTTTAAAACTGGCCCCCACAGGAAAATGGCAGTACAAAGTACAACTAACTTGTAATGTCATTATTTTTTAATGTTAGGCTAATATAAAAAAGAAGTTAAGCAGAGAAGAAAAGCAAGCATTAATGAAAGCTCGCAGGGAGGAGCGAGGAAAGTACCAGGCTCGTGCTGCTATTAAGCAGAAAAAGGTATGTTTTTCTATTCCTCCCATTTTTCCTAATTTCTTGTATGTAGCATTTTTGTTCAGATGCTCTCCAAGTAGCTTTTGGGTTCAATTTTTTGTCATTATTATTGTGTTTTGTTGGGAAGAACCAAAGACTTAAACATTCTATCCTAAGAGTATGTTTTTGTTTGGCTCCCCAGTCATGGCATATTTTAACCTCTTGCATCTCTCACTTTCTTAGATCCCCACTCTTTTTCTTCCATTGCACTTGCTTACCATTCACCCATGACATATGAAGACCTTGACTAGGACGAGTAATTTGAGACTTGAGAGTTTGTTGTTCCTTCATGGAATCATATATACTCATAATATGACACCACCATCCCCATTCCCCAACCACCCGTTCTTATAGTGGGATCACCCACATTGGGGTTTTACCGAAAATATGACTGAACTTATGGCCGCATCAGTGTAAAATTCGTTATAATCATGGTATTGTGTATTAATTTCACAAATTTGTCACTATCTTTATTTTAGTCACATATTAGTCATTATTTCTATATTCTATGCCATCTTGTTCTGACTGTAACTTGTTGTAAATGCTGTTTAGACTGGTGGTACAAGCAATGTGCAAAAACAACGCAAAAAGGTTATGCCAATGGCTGCAAATAGAGAAAGGTTTACAAAAAATAGAGAGAAAAAGAAGATAAAACAACAGCGAGCTGGGAAGCAATTCAGAGGAAGAAAAGCATGGAAGTGACGCGCAACATTGCAACATTTTTTTCTTCCTAATTTCAATTTTGTGTCCCTCTTGGTTCTACAGAAAAATAATCTCAGTTTTGTTCTGATTATTTTTATCAAGGAATCATTTGTATTTTTTAACATTAACAGTTATTTAATCATTTCAGATTTCTACATCCTTTTCCTTTGGATTATAAAGGTGTATAGTTGTGCTTCCTATTCAATGAAACTTGATTGCTATACCATAAAATTAGGACAAAAGTTGGGGATGATATTAGTTCAATCCAAAACCATTTAAAGACCGGGATCAGAATTTGCAGCTTCTCCCCCCCTACCTCAAGTCCTCAACCAAGACCAGGATCAGAATTTCCAGCTAGGACATGCACTAAGAGAAATGAGCACACCTTAAATGAAAATGAACATCTCTATTCGCCTAAAGACATTTGCAATGGTGGGTGAATTGGGGTTCCACACTTCCACTTAAGTAAATGTACTTTTTTATTTCAATGAATATGAGCTTCTAAAATAAAAATGAGCATCCTCTATTCGTCTAAGGATGCTAGTAGATTTCACGTGGAAGGTGAGTTGAGATTTCACGATTCCATCCTAGTAGATGTACCCCGCGCGATTCCATCAGTTCTACATTGACAATTTTTCTTAATTGTTTGAATCACTTTTCTCTTTACATTTGTGCAAGTGGATTCTCTCGCTACAATGTCATTTTCGTCCGTATACGAAATGACATTGCACTATAAACATTAGAGATGCTCTAGTAGAAATGATCAAAACAAAAAAGAGTATGAAATGGACATCGTCTCACAAGAAATGATCATATGAAATAAGTGAACAAAATAATAGAACATAATGTGAAATAACTTCTTTTTTTAATTTAGATTTGGGCACTTCATTTTCTCTATAAACTCTAAAAAGGGGTAACTCTTATCATCCTGAAGGTTTTTTTTGTAAGGATGTAAATACTAAATTGAATTTAGATCACACACATCAATTTATTTCTCAATTTTTTCTTCTGAAAGAATTCTTCAATTTTCTATAAACTCTTGCATGAGATGTTTTGTTTTTGAGAGTTGACAAACTTTCCAGTGAATCTTGTTGGTTGGAGACTTTCGGCGTTTGATGGCAAACGAAAAGAATCAGAAAGAAACATGCAAAAAATGGTTCCTGTTCCCGGAGTGGCTTCCATCTCTTCCTTTCATCTGCTTCTCTATCAACTCTCCATTGTCCCTGCTTTTCACTTTCACCTAACCTCGCCTTTCCGTCCCGTTCTTCCCTCTGCCCCTCGGCAACGACTACCCTCCTTAAACCCATCTTTGGATCCCCGTCGTCGACTGTCTGCCACCACTGTAGCTACTGTTTCCGCTCTATTTTCCTTTTCTTTTTTACAACATGGACCCTGCTACCTCCCGCCCTGCTATAGTCATCGATAATGGAACCGGGTATGCTAAGACTGGTTCAAAATGCTTTATTTTTACTCCGCCGACGAGGTGTTCGACGGATTTCTTGAATGGGGATGAAATTGACGGTTGCTACTGTTATCAGGTACACGAAGATGGGATTTGCCGGAAATGTGGAACCATGGTTCATTCTTCCGACGGTGGTTGCTGCTAACGATTCTTTCGTGAATCAGCCTCGGACTTCTACCAAGACCAGCAATTGGTTGGCCCAGCACAGCGCTGGGGTTATGGCCGATCTGGATTTCTATATTGGGGACGAGGCGTTGGCCAGATCATCTAAATCTAGTAGTACTTATAATCTGAGTTATCCCATTCGGCATGGCCAGGTCGAGGATTGGGATGCCATGGAGCGATTCTGGCAGCAGTGTATCTTCAATTACCTGCGGTGTGATCCTGAAGATCACTATTTTCTTTTGACTGAGAGCCCAATGACTCCTCCTGAGAGCAGGGAGTACACTGGTGAGATCATGTTTGAGACATTCAATGTTCCTGGGCTTTATATTGCAGTGCAACCTGTTCTTGCTTTAGCTGCTGGGTACACAACATCTAAAGTCAGTATTCATTCGAGTGAGCTGAGTGATTTAAACATTAATTTTTCCTCTTTGTTGCGTGTGTATGAAAGAACCATGAGATAGTTTTCATATTAGAGATCTATATATAAGAACCGTTACAGGATATGATGTTTGAACTCTTACTTCTTTGATGATATTATAAACATATAACTTTAATCAATGATATTTTTTATGTGCAAACTGACACGCTCTTCTTTAGTGTGAGATGACGGGAGTAGTTTTGGACGTTGGGGATGGGGCTACACATGTTGTACCTGTTGCAGAAGGTTATGTTATTGGGAGCAGCATTAAATCCATTCCCATTGCTGGGGGAGATGTTACTCTCTTTATTCAGCAGCTTATGCGGGTCAGTATCTCCTCAACCATTTATCACTTGAATGTATCTACTATATGCTCCTGCAATATATAGTTGAATGAATTGGAATGATGTAATAAAATTAGTAGCATATTTAGCCTTTCTTGTTGAAGTAAAAAAGATGAACACGGTATTGCAACCTATAACAATCCAATATAGAGCCAAGAAGGAACGGATTGTTATTTAAACATGCTCATTAGCTACCTTGCAAGCTAAGTTGACTATGTGTTACTTGGTAGCTACTGCGTCAGAGGACTAGTAGCGATTAGGTGAATACTCTGTCATGAAATAGTAAGATTATACACATGTATCATATTGGTTTCTAATAATACTGCCATCCACTGTGTGTAGGATATGAAAAGTGACAAAAGTGGAATTTTGTGGTTGACATCGAATTTAGAACTCCGTCCGGCTATCTTTGGCACATGAAGAACTGGAACACATATCTAGGGAATTGAAATCATATGTTTAATTTTAAACTTGTGAAGTTATGAATGAATTCAAACCTCACATATCACCAAATTTAGTACGAGACAGAATTATTGGGCGGACAAAAAAAGAGTGATGGGCAATGATAGTGAGACAAAGGGTGAGAATGAATTTAACCACCCAGTCATTAACAAATATACTACGTAGTATGAGACAACTTAGTGAGGTGTACAAAAAAGGAAAGATGAGACAAAGATAGTTCATAAGAGGAGTAATATTACTTGTACAAACTTATAAATATTTATGAATGTGTGTATGTTTACATACATAACACATGTAACCCATATATAGTCCATAACCACCAACTTCAACAAGGGCCGAACCAGGATTTAGTCATAGGGCCCATAGGGGGGCCAAGAATGAACACAAATAATAAAGATAAAATTTCGTAAAAAGAACTAAAACAATGATAAAGTTCATAAATAGGACTTTCGTAGTTTTATTCTATGTCAAAGTCAATTTATTAGAATCCATCCAAAAAAATCCCTCATGTCATGGTTTTATAGATCTACTCATCTACATTATTGTTTCCCTATTATTATATTCTGAGCTTGAAACAAATTTATCAAATAATAAATTTAAAATTATATATCAATCAATCATAATGATACTATGTGTCATTTTAACATATAACTACCCATACACAATTAAATCATTAAGTGCTAAAAAGTTACAAATAAAAAAGAAAACTCGAAAGCCCTTAACCAAAGAGCATACAAACTAGGCAGATAAACTAGGACAAACTAGGAATATATAGGCAGATAAACTAGAAATTCTTTCACATATGAAATACGGAGTAATATCTAATACTAGGAGAAATGTTCCTACCAGGCTTTGACCGGAACTGCTGTCCGGCCACCTCCATTTGAGGTGCTTCTGGCTGGAATTTTGTTAGAATGTTCTTCATGAACGGTAGATTATTTCTATCAAATTTCACTTTAAAATTCAGTCGGAAAATTAGTTAAATAAATTATTGAAAAATGCTGCGTTTTGTATATATATTTTGGCGTAGTATTTTTCAATAATATCTTTAACTGACTTCTTGAATGAATTTCAAGATGAAATTTGGTCTATATACTCTGCACTTAATGAATAACATGCTTACAAATTCCACCAAAAAATTCCACCCGGAAGCTCCTGAAATGGAGGCTCCGTACAGTGGTTCTGGTCAGAAGGGCCTGACAAGAACATTACCCCTAATACTAGTACAACAACAAGCAACACCATCCAAGCCTTATTCCCAATAGATTTTGGAGTCGCCTAACACGAAGCGATCCATGCTATTACCCCTAATAGTAGTACTATTAAAAAATAAAAAAGTTGGGGGGAAGGTACCTCCGGTTCTGCACGTCAATTACATAATTCATCCAACATACAATGACGATCTGATCTTCCCCATCTAAGTCTTGGTGTCCAATTGCATTTGTCAAGGGTCAATCACTCAAACTTTATGATGTACAAATTCCTTAATTCTTATTATTACTTCTTCCTCATATTTCCTTTCCATAAATATGGTAAGTACATTAGTCCCTTAAGTACCTCCTATAGGTACCTCCGTCCCTGCACGTCAATTACATAATTCATCCAACATACAATGATGATCCGATCTTCCCCATCTAAGTCTTGGTGTCCAATTGCATTTGTCAAGGGTCAATCACTCAATCCTAAGTTTATGATGTACAAATTCCTAAATTCTTATCATTACTTCTTCCTCATTATATTTCGTTTCCATAAATCCGGTAAGTACATTAGTCCCTTAAGTGATAGAAGAATTACATCAATTTTTTGTTGGTCAGTGAAACTAATATTTATGTTGTTTGGAGTGTTAGTATGACTACTTGTGGTTACAGATCCTCACAGAAATTGGAAGTTATATTACAATGTATTTCATTTTCTTTGTTGTACGCTGTCATAGCTATTGGTTGCATGTTTTTCGGTAGTCAAACTTCTCTTTCAACTCTTTGGAATTTTTATTTTTAATTAAGGTACTGTCTGTTTGAAGTTTCTCATTCGTAATTGGTTGTATGCTGCTTCCCTTTTTTGTCCAGTGAAAGGAACCCTTGTAGAACCTGGAACCTAATGGCGGAATTTTATTTTTATGCTGTTAAATGTAGGAAAGAGGTGAGCACATTCCTCCTGAGGATTCCTTTGAAGTAGCCCGGAAAGTAAAAGAAATGTACTGTTACACATGTTCTGATGTGGTCAAGGTATTTTATTGATATCAACCTCCACAATGGCCTTGGTAAAGGCAACATGAAGGAAAACTGCATGGATGCAGGATATAAGTAATATAGCAAATAATATAAGATACAAAGGAAAAATTAAAAGTCTTTCTCGTCCTTCCAATAGGCAATCACGCG